GGACAGTTTCAAATTTACTACGTGCCCTCCCTTGTCTCCTCTGTCATTGGTTGTTTCCTGACCCTCTGGGAATCCAGCTGGGTTTCATGGTGTCTGAAATCTGCTCTGCTTCCTCTCAGTTGTTCATGCTGGTTATTTATGTCTGAGGATCTTGGGCAGCCTTTACTTGTTTTGTTATTTGTTATTGTTACATGTTATTTGCCTTTTATTGTCTTATTACTTTTTCATTTTAATATGGCTTTTTCCATACATTCTCTTAAAGATGCTTCTTTTCTTTCTCTGATCTTGAACAATATTATTGGTTGCTTTGCAAAGAGCACATTCTGTATAGTTTCCTTTTATTTTATTTTATTTTATTTTATTTTTGAAGGTGAGAGACTGATTTTCAGACCTAGAATCCAGAGTTTTGGACACTGGTAATCCTCTTACACAGCCATTCCAATGCACACACATTGTCAGCCACACAAAAATGCCCTAATGTGAGCACATACACACACATTAACTCACTAACTGCAGTCTTGGAATAAACATTCATTTATTCATTTTCACTGTGGTGATGTTTTCTGCTTCATCCATGGAAAGTCTTGCAGTGTAACTGAGCATCCCTGTGTGGCTCCTCTGCTTCTGAGATAAGGTTCTTGTCCTGAAGGCAGAAATTTGGCGTCTCCATCTGGGAGCCACTAATGTATTCACTCATATCTTTAATACTCCGCTGCCACTCCCATCTCTGCTCGGAGAGAATTTTCTATGATGGAGCTGAAGCTTAGCGCATTAAAATAACTCCAGCCTGGCTGTGTGTGTACGGAGTGCATTCAGACTTGTGCACCTGTGTGTATCACACGTTGTGTGTGTGTCTGTGTGTTTGTGCACAGTAACAGGCAGTTTTTGAGTGGCAGAGAGCCGAGACAGCTGAGATCCTCCTGGCTCTGTGCTGCGGACGTCCTTTGAAAGCCTTGACCCACTTCCAGTTGTCATCCCCCCCGCTCACCCAAACACACTGCATACTGAAGTAACTCTGCCACAATCTGCTGAGCTGCAGTGAAGCTATGCATGCAGACACAGGGGAAGGTTGGGTGTGTCTCTCTAATAAATAAATTGTATGTGGTGCATGGTTATGTGTGCATGCATGTGTGTAGCTGCATGTGCAGGCTCACAGTAGCTGCAAGGTCTTGGGAAAAGCCATAGAGAGTTGCTGCTTAATGAATCATTTTCTCTTTGTTACTTTACCAACCAGCCACAGCATGTTTAACTCCACAGTGAGCAGGACCGCTGTAAGACTGCTACAGAGACAGAGGGCAGCACTGTGAGATACAGAACTGTGTGGATTCGGGTAAAATTTGAACCGTTGCGCAACAGTTCTGCAGCAGACTGATGTGTGTAGAGCTGCAAGCAATGATTATTTCATTACAGGTGAATCTGCTGATGCTTTGCTACATTAATGAATCAGTCGTGGTCCATTGAATGTCAGACAGTAGTGAAGAATCCTCATCACAATTTCCTAAAGGTCAATATGACGACTTTAAATGTCCAGCTTAATGTCCCAAACCCACATATATGGAATTTGTTTAAGACAAAGAAAAGCAGAAAATACTCAAAAATAAGAAGTTGGAAACTTCAGTTAATTATTATCAAAATTATTGCTCATTCATTTTCTGTCGACTGTTTCGACACTTGGTATGTGTATAAAATGACACTAGGACAAACTGCAGTATGCATCATGACCACTATATTATTTCACTATATTATTAACTTTTTTATGTATGTGACATGTTGTTTTGGACACACACACACACATCCAATATTACTTTTTGATTGGCCTGGATTTAAGAGCACGAACTCAACAACAATTTTTAACATTTACTGTTTCCTGATGATACAGATTTGTATTTGAAGGTTGAACCTGGTCTTAATATGTCACTATGGTTGTGATCCTGTAGAGTCCAGGTCAGACCTATTCTATACTACATTTCACAATGGCCTCTCCATTTAGTTTAATTAATTTGTGATGGCTGATCGGTGAATATTGTTAAGGCCCACTGATTAAATCAGAAAAGCGGCTTTTATAATACAAGTATACCTGATGAATGCCAGATATGTTGGCTGGACAGAACACAATGCATTACTGAAAATTGGTCAGGACAGAATAGGGGGTTAAATAGCCAGAATGTGAGACACCAAGAACTCAGCAATGTCACTGAAATGAAGAAATTAAAATTGAGTGGCAGTGGAAACAGCGGGAAATTGGAATGAGACGAGGAACAAAGTGAAGGATTCTACTCCAGTCATTGAAGCCATATGCACTTTTTTGTATTTTCAAAGCAAACAGGCCTGGTTTTAAGCCCCCGTGTGCGGGGATAGGCCAGACAGCTGGCTGATGGGAGTGAAGCTCCACTGGAAAGGACTGGCTGTTAGTCATGAATGTTAGACACAGAGATTCAGACAGATTACAAACAAGCACAAGCCTGCAAGCACGTAAGCAGTGTGTTCACTCCCTAATGCATTAATGTGTATAGGCATACGCAAGGGGATTAACACATACTTTGATTTATGGCCGCACACAGAGCAAATGTGCGTACTTATATGAAGACAGTGTTTACAGTCCAGTTATAATTTGATGTGTGCCGATAGAGATACACTGTCTAATCAATAGGAAACAGACGTCAGTGACCTTTCTAAACCAGCTGCCACCTGGTTTATAGAAGTCCATTTTATCACCTGATGCGTTCAACAGAAGCCCCTGAGTACGATGACACTGATATCATCTCCTCTGCTCTGAAGTCATTCTTACGCTCTGTCATCACTTACCAGGAAATACCCTCCATTCATCTGTTTGTATCATGATTTTGATCATTAAACTAGTGTGTGCATGTGTGTGTGTCGTACGTCCTCCGCACACGCTCTTTGTCACCGTATCATCACCCTCTGTCTGTCTGCATCTCTTTGTCGTCAGCCCTTCACTCTGTCAGTATCAGGCTAACATCACCCTGGACTTTAAGAGCACCCAACTATTGAACTCTGTTGGCAGACAGACCTCACAGAGCTCAACAGACAAACACTTCTGAAGGTGTTTAGTATCAGGCAGTAAGAACAATACAGTACAGTATAGTAAGTAGACTCATGTGGCTGATCATCCAGCTCAGCACTTAAAAGTGATACTGATGTTTACAAATAGAATGAGCCTTCGCGGTTGTATACCTCCGCCAACCAGTCAGATTCATGGGTATGGGACAGAAGTGAGGTCACTGACCTTGACCTTTGACCACTGAAATCTAATCAGTTCATCCTTGAGTCTAAGGATAAAGGATGGACTCAAGGATGAACTTGTGCCAAATTTGAAGAAATTCCTTCAAGATGTTCCTGACATATCGCGTTCACAAGATTTGTGGACAGATGAGTGGACAAACGGACAACCTGAAAACAAAAAGCCTTCGGCTGTGGTTATGGCTTGTGCCAAGGAATAAGAAGGCAAACTGAAGAACACTATGGCCAAATCGCCCTCCTGGGGGAGGTTTCTGACATTTTATACATTGAACAATCAATCCGTTATCAATGAAAACAACTGTCAGATGTATTGACAATGAAAATTACTGTTGGTTGCAGTCTTACAGTAGCACTACACCTTCCTTTGCCCTGTTGGCGATTAAGTAATCAGAAAAGCAAAACACAACCTGCTGCCTTCTATTTAAAAAAACAAACAAACAAACTGAAAAGCTTTTTGAATTTTCATCAGCTTAAATCTTTCTCACTTTTTGTGCAAGGAAATAAAAGCTCCATATTGCCGATGTAACACACTACATTTACTGCCCAACATTTGTGTGTAAATCTGTCCATTCACCCTCAAAAAACATTAGTGAGAGTGACTAGTACTGTATCTAAAATATCAGTTTACTGCTCACTACTGAGTAAACTACTGGGTGCATTAAGTAGGGAGTAATGAATTAGTCAATGCAGGAGTGGTTTCCTATGGCAGCGTTCACTGATGTCTGAGATCTGTTACTAGGAGACGTTGACGCCCACATAGCGTCGGAAATGTGCCTTTAGCAGTTTAAGACATCTGTCGCTTTACGATCAGTGATGTGCTGTTTGTGTAACACTCTGAAAGTGAACACTGCACACAACAACGCTGCATGTTGTTGTAGTGAGCTGCAGTGACGCCATCTTTGTGTTGTTCTCTTTTGCGGTCACTCAGTCAGGGTTGTTTGTTTTGGTGTGAGTTCATTTGTCTGTTTCGCCTCTGCCGGGGTGGCGTAGATCAACAAAGGGACTTATTATCACCATGAAAACTATCATTTGGGGCCTTGCAGGGTGACATTAAGAGGTTTAAAGGATGGTTTATACAGTAGAGTGCAGTACAACATTACGCTCTGTCAACACAGTGACAGCTTGATTTGCAGTGAATGTGCACTTATCTTAATGTTCCTGGAGGGCTGAACTGCTGATTCAGTGACATACTGGTGATACTGGGACCTGTGTTTCAGCTTTTTCTCTTCGGTCAGATGTAGAAATAATAGTAGCCGATTAATGGATGACTATACTGAAAGACCATATTGAACTTTTTCCATTATCAAATATTTGTTGATGATTGTGTTTATTTTAGCATCGCTGTGTTCTAAATTATTAATTGAATATCTTTAGATTATGGAACAAGTTGTGCACTTTACATACACTTACAACTCTGTGATTGGTGTCACTGTTTTTATCTTTAAGACAGTAAATGATCCATGAAAAATCAAAATACAATAATTAGTTGTGAACCTATACTGAAGTTACATTACGATGTGTATAGATCATGTCGTATCATGCATCATTTGCATGTTCCTGACTTTCTCCCCCTGTGAATGAGTCAATGTAGGAGGGCATGTTTGAATTCATACGTGTCATTCCTGGTGACTATTGATCTGAGGGAGTAATGGTGTGATTTTATCTACAAATACCCATTAAAAACTGTTAATGAATTGCTCGACTGCTCAGGCATCTCTTTCCATCTCTGCCTCTCTCAGGTGTTGTGAGTGCAGCGCCTCACTGTCCCACTGGTATTATGAAAAAGAGGGACGGCTCTTCTGCAAGAAGGACTACTGGGCCAAATTTGGGGAGCTGTGCCATGGCTGCAATGACCCAATCACCACCGGCCTCATCATGGTAAGAGGATTCATCTACGGACTCTCATCCTTCATCACCTCCCTGGTTCTTTGTTTGCTGATGAACCTCGTGTTACAGCTGGGACATACACCTGGGCTCAGATGTTTACAGCCTCACTAGTTGGTGTGTGCCAACATGCATACATGCATGCAGGATCTGTGCCAGGCCTGTAACTGACCGTGATGCATCTGGTCATATTGCCTTACAGACCGCCTGGGGAAGTTGGAGCAGTTGCTATGGCACAGGAGAACAGAGGGGCAGAGTAGATGTGGATGCACCACCAGTACATAAACAATAGACTTGGCCTCTGCTGATAAGTGCTGCATCAAAGGAGAGTTGTGTCTATTTACGGAAACACACACATGCAAAGCTGGAAGAAACTATTTAAAGATGAGACAATTAATCGATTAAATCAGAAAATAATCAGTAATCATTTATAATAAAAACTTGTAGTTGGAGCTCTTCTTCTTACCTTAGAGTGAAATCTGTGCATCCTGGGCCCTTAATATACTGTATTTTGATTTTTAGGGTACCTTATTTATGAGGTACCAGGGCTATGCACAGAACTTGTGTGGGTCAGGTGCTCAAGCTAAAAAAAAAAGGGCACCCCTCTCACCAACAATTATTTATTAAAAAGAAAAAGTTACCTTCTGTAGCACATCTTTGAATTAGCACACAAATTTTAAGTCTGTATAAGATTTGAGGCAAAATATTAACATAACCACAATAGGATCAGGGTGAACAGTTAAACCTTCACATGTGAACTTGTAATGTCCCCAGATTATTGTATTGAAATGACAGTTGTCTTGCCAACAACTACCAGTAGATTTTGTGTCACAGGAGGAAGATTAGATCATTTACAGGGCTACAATTTAGAGAATAACGTTTTTTTTACCTGCTGTATTTCTAAGTGGGTATGGTGAGTATAATTTTGCTATCACTGCCTCCATTTCAGGGAAATGAAAAGTCACATTAAACTGTGTTATTGGGGCAACCAGTTAGCCTCTGATTGGAGGCTAAGTGATGGCCACGATGACACTATTTTCTATGAATGTTCGTTTGCCAGAATCTTTACAACAGAGGCACTGATAGCAAAATTAGCAATACTAGCTAATACTATTAATTCATAGCCTAATAGTTACTGTTGTCGGGCATAGTTACAGCATGCTTTTAGTTGACATTTTATGCAATGAGCCACATTGGAAATTGTTGAAAAACTTAAAATATAACATTAAAATTAGAAAAGATTGTCCTGTAAAAAGGGTGCTTACAGTGTCAAGTCAGAGGTTAAAGGACAGGTGCTTGTGCACAACCTGGGGTGTGCATGTACCTGTCAGGTGTTTTGCCACTTTTCAAGTTTGTCTGGAGAGCAACTGAGCAGCTGGACCCTGCTGTGTACTTAACGTACAGTTTCACCACAGGCTTTTTGTATAGACTGGTGGTGTATTTAGAAATGTGGTCAGTGTGTACAGTTCGTCAGTGTTCAACAACAGCAGGATTTACATGTTCTTCTATGCTCGTTCATCACTGGTGAACACAGCAGGTTTTGTTGTGCTCACACTTACCATTTAGCCATGGCAGAAGACGATATGAAAACTACTGTATGTCAGCTGTGTGTGCAAATATGGTAGGCTCAGTTTCATATTCGCCTGTTGCCTTTGCATGATGCTCATTTGACTGAGAAATTTTAAATCTAATTATGAATTTAATAATCATTTGCTGCTGGCTGACTGCAAAAGTACTTTTAAGTGCTTTTTGAAGTGGGATTTAACTTAAATGATCTCACTTTGTTACAGTTGTATGCAATTATTTAACTTCAATTTTGAGATATATAGTTCTACAGAATATGAGAACAGTTAAATTGTTAGCTGAATTTCTTTTTCAAATTAATTTAATGAAGAAAAATGTGGTTGTTACAGTATGTTGAGTGGCGATACCCTGTCTCTAAATCCACCCAGGACCCACATTATTGACTAAATCAATAATTCCCTTGCAGGGGAAGCTGGCTAAAATAAAAAGCCAGGTTTATTCAATGCACATAAACTATCTTCTTTGGTGCATTTGCCTCCAGGTCTCTTAGTGCAGCCAGCAGCTTCTGGCAGGTGCCACGGCCTTTCTCTGCATCTCTGAATGTGTGTGTGTGTTTGTACTTTAATCATTTAACAGTGCATCCAGACAACATGTCATTTGCTGTGCCGTCTCAGTAATGAAACATGCGGGACACTAAAGTAAATTAGGTGGAGAGACAGCTGCACCACCTCTCATCTTCTTCTTCTCTGGGTTATTGCTCCTCTTAAAGTACAAAGACGCTGATAGACCGTCCCTGCAGTTACACTTCAGTAGATTTGAGATCGGTCATGCTTGATTGCCAGAATGGCCAGACAAATTGTATTCGGTGCAGATGTGCTGACCAAGGTCAGCTCCCTACATCTGTGCCACACCCAGGAGGAAGCGGGAGCACACTTTGGTTTTGCACAGTCACTCTGACAGATTAGCAGAGAAGCACAATCCTATTTTTTAAAATTCACTGATGCAACCACACCAAAAAAAAGCTGCTGTCATAGTCAGTGAAAACACCTTAACCTTCATGATGCAGTGATGAGTCAGAGCCTGTAGACAGCTGATGGTCAACCAGAGCAAATAAATGAGTAAGGAGAGAATTTACATTTCATGGGATTTCACTATGTTGGTCTAGTGGACCAGTGTGTTTCCACCAAAGTGCTTGTTGCATTGACTCACAGCAAACGAACTTCCTCAACCCACACTAGACAATCCAGCAAACTCAGCAGCTTCATGCAGCGATTGTGTGGAGGTGAAGATTATTTTGTCAGCAGCTGCTTTCAAAGTCTAGACTGAATCATCAAGCTCAAAGTAATTTTATTGGTTGTCAGAAAACAGAAAATGTTCTGTCTTTGTACATGTGCTTGTAAATCTTTGACAGTAACCACAGCTGCCCTGAGGATGGGGCCGTTGTCCCAATGGCATATGACCTCTTAGACTGTAATACTACATGTATGTGGAGAGGACTCACTTATTTACTACCTCTTACTGAGACTGATTCATTTGCTGAACAACAAGTCCGAGTGACGCGTGCATTTGAATTTTCTCACCTCTTATCCATCTTTTGCTCTGTTCATCCATCAGTAGATGAATCTGCAGTCATCTCCACATTCAGTGTAGCCTCTCTGCAAACAACTGAGGGCTGGGAGCCAGCTGATGGGAGCAGGGCCACACATCGACCGAGGCCTGTTGAGTGTCCAGAGCTCGGGAGAAGCTTTTGGTTTCACGGTTTCTCGTCCGCACTGCATCTTGTGTGCCACAATGTTTGTCTTCAGTTTGCCCTTGTTTCCCTTTGGACTCGGGGGTGAGCTTATTGATGACCAGCAAACCATGAAGGATCTGTTACCATAGCCTTCTCTAATTTAATGATTGGGTGATGTTGTTCAGACACATGTTGTTTGTTGCAGTAGTAATAAATGATTTTTTAAAAATAATAGGAATGATTATGATGCGGATGGGATCAGACTGGTACTCGGTAGCAGCACATGCCTCAAGTTTAGGTGTCAGTGGTTGTTCTCTGTGTCTGTGGTTTTGTTGTGATGCTGTCTAATCACGTTTCCTTTCAGTGCCCAAAACCATTGCAGCACCAAACCTCTGGCTGTTCATCAATCAGATAGCCTTCTTGTTTTGAGATGACCAGTTATGACTTTTCAGTTCCTTGTTTTATCACCATGCTAATGCTTAAAGACAAATGCCAGTCAGTTGGTTATGGTTTTGGTTTTGGCTTTGGCCTGGCTTTGGTACTTTCCTTGCTTCTGCTTTGTGTTTCTGAGATTGCAAACACAAACAGCTGAAGGTGATATCCAAGACATTTCCCTGAAATCAAAATGCTTATGACTCTTTGGAATTTTTTTTAGTGCTAATAAAATTCAGATTGCGTTTTGACTATTAGATAGTGTGCTGTACCGCTCCACCCACCCCATCTGTGCCAGTAAATCTTTTAGTTTCACTCTAGAATAGAACATTATCTTCTACTGGAATGCCACAGTAAACAAATGGTAAAATAAAACAAAGAAAAGGAAAAGAATGAATAAAACCTGGACACAATATACATATTGTGATTAGTAGCAGAGCTGACTTGGGATGAATTCTTTCAGTGAGACTACATTTGAGTGTTTCTTGAAGGTAGTTTCATTCAAAATGTGCTAAAATTTTTTTTATGAATTAACCTGTGTTTTAATTAACTTTAAGGCCTTTTTAATTTAGCTGTTTAACCACTGTATCTGAAGCAGCGCAGCACTGAGAGAGAACAGGTTTGGGTTCAGTGCCTTCTTGTAGTGATTGTACTCTAACTTTATGAGTGGTATATAAATACTGTCCTACACAGAGTTACGTGGTCTCTAAGTGAGAGTGTATGGGATGGACACCAAACCAGTGGAAAGTTCCATATTTACTGTGCACTTGATCAACTCCCACTGGTGTGAGGCAGCTCTGTGTTTGAGTGGGAAACCACCAGTCGTTTGTGTAACCGCCTGATGATTGTTTTGTCCCTAGGTGAAGACTCACATGTGTAATAAGTGTTGGGAAATGGTATTTGTCAAGATCTTGTTTCTGTTCAGGCTGTGAGGTTGTTTTCTTAGCCAGAGGATCAGCTGTCACTAATGATCTCATCAGTGCTCGAGCTGGTGTGAACACAGTGCTCTGTCACAGTGTAGAACTCGTTTTGCGCCAGGCTGAGTTGCCTTTTGATTGAAGAACATCAGGGAGGTTAAAGGTCAGGCTCATGTGCAGAGGAAGGATGCGGCTCAGATATGTTACTTCAAATGTAAGGTTTTATGTTATGATTTGTTTTCTGTTTTTAGTGTTGCAAACAATATCTACATTTTTGAGTCTTGCTGGCAACATAAGTTGACCAATGATCTTCAGCCAAGTGTTTTCACAAGCTTGTTTAGCATTTCCTCTTTCCATAAGGGTAACACTGACGAAAGCAGCAGTCTCTG